GGCCATCCGCAGCACGAGAAGCCGATCAGGAAGCGACACGAATGATCCCCATTCAGTGGAGTCCACTGGGTTCAATTTCACGCACTGTCAATGCTATGACTGCTGCTGACCTGACTGCGCTCAGCTGTCCCATATGGTCTAGCGGTTAGGATTCCTGGTTTTCACCCAGGCGGCCCGGGTTCGACTCCCGGTATGGGAAGAGTTTATTATACTGGGTATTGATTACAGTGAAATGCTTATTATACATTGCATCATAACAGGGCGCCAAATCCCTGAACAAACAACACCCACGTGGGTAAACCGCTGCATTTTAGCCGCTGCAATGTGAAACTAGTCTGAACCAAAGTAAAGAAGTGAAGACAAACTGGATTAACTCCGGGGCAAACGGACTGGGTGTAAAAACATCCTTAGAGCCTGGTCCAGGTCTGTTTACATACACTACAGAAAAGTCTAATTGAACTGTGGCGTGGAGCGGAGCGCCCCCTGCTGGTTGACACAGGCTTGAGGGATTCACGACTCCGACTCTCAACTCCTGCTGCTGGAATCTTATCCAAGACTAAGTAAAGACTAAATTCAGCTCATTTCACACAATAAGGAGCGGAGTGATGTACTGAGAGCATCATTACTGTAGTCAGAATCCTATGAAAAATAAAAAGTTGGATGTTATCTTCCTCCTCTTTTCTCGAGGCTAAACTTGGCTTCGTATTCCCCAGCTTCTTATTTGAGGTTTTCCGGACCACTTCAAATGATGCAGCAGTTGTTTACACGGCGCGCCATGCCAGAGTGTAACAGCTGCGCCATTTAAGGTGGAAAGCTGGCGAATAAGGAGCAAATCTCAGTTTCATCCCTGAAAAAACATTCTCTGTTCTTGGTTTTCGTTCCGTGTACCGAGTCTAATAAATGTTTATTGCGACCCAAATCCTGAAGAAAATGAAGAGCTGCAGTGGTGGACGGATCGAAAAGGTTTCTGTGAGCAGAGTTTGTGCTCAGAGCCTCTGGTGAGCAGAGCTGGCGTTGTTTAAAGATGCTAATCAAACAAACTTAAACTCAAGTTCAGCTCAGACTCTTTACTGTTTACACGTACCTCCCTCAAAATGTCCCTCGTGTCAATTACCATGAAAAAACATGGAATCGGAGAGTCGACTCCGAGCATTTCGACTCTTAGAATCACTGGCCTGGGGACTCCCAGACGCGTTGGAGTCGAAGAAACGATTCTTTTGGAATCGATTCCCATCACTAGTTTGAGTTTGAGAATATCGTTCACGTTTTCCTTCCCATTTCATGTTGACAAAATGTTCAAACACAATTGACTTCTTACTCCTTTCAGTGTCTGCAATCATCATGTTAATTTTCGCTGCAAAATACTGCAAAAATACTATAAAACTACACTTTTCAATCACGCTAAGCCTAAACTGACTAAAACCTTAACTAATCTGTTTACACGACCATCTCTAACAGTCTGAGACTAAATATCGACCCCTGGTGTGCATGTAAACACAGTTGTAGTTATAAACGCTGCTGATTACAATAGCTAGCTAGCTCGCTAAATTAGCGGTTAGCACACACAGCTCACAACCGCCCAGCAGAAAAGGTAATTAATGTTAGCATTTCCTCTCTCTGAGCCTAAATCTCAGTGTGTTAGCTTCGGATGAGCGCAAATGTGCTGTGTAAAATAATAATTAAAGTTAACGTTACCTGTCTAGCAAATTCAGAGCGAGGTTGTCCCTCTTCAGACCCTCCAACTAACGTTGGCTAACTTAATGTCCTCTCTCTCCTGCTTTCCTTCACTCTTCTGCTCTCGCTCCGTCATTTTCAGTCTGTCTTTGTTCTTTTGCTTGGTTTGGTAGTTTAAGCTGTTACAGGCGCTCATTTTTAAGAGAACTAGCTAACCAGCTGCAGCAGGTTTCTTTGACGTCACACTGTAGCCGTGTCGGTCATCATTTCGTAGTCCGTGCCATGTTCTTACGCCCATATTAGGAACTCCGGGTCTAACCTTCATTTCTCTATGGGCAGAATGAATAGGGTTTTCGAAAAATCGCCTCTGTCACAACCTGTGTTAAATAAAAATTCAGAACCCGATTTGTTTTGTCCTGTGAAAATTCTTCTCTCGAATATCACTGGATCCTCTGGATTATGAGGTCGTTCTTGAGAAAGATCCTAAGAAAAAGTCTACCTCAGATTCATGACATGTTCTTAAAGCACAGAACTGTTCTCACCTTTGTGCTCTTGAGTGTGTGTAGATTCTGTTGTTACCCAAGAACAAATCCCAAATAAGGAAACCTTGGTGAATGTCAGATTCCTGGTAAAAACTGCGTAAGTGGGCTTTATGAAGAAATTTCTTCTGAAGAATTGTTGGTGAATGAGGCCCATTGCTTTTACCGGCACCAGCTGACACTACCTGATCCATAACCCTCATGTTTAAACGTTTTATAGCTTTATTTTATAGCATGCATAAATTCGCAGAGAAAATTTTGAGTTAGTATTAGGGCTGGGCAATATGATGGTATTAATCGTTATTGTGATAAATTACATCATGTTATATCACAATGTGAAATTTTGAGCATGTCGTTGATATGATCAGTACTTACAGGGGGATTTCACTGATTTTATTGGTTCACTAGTTTTATTCAGTTGTTGAGATCTAAACAGAGTCATTAGAAGTATTGTCATATTATATTTTTTTGCTATATCGCCTAGCTGTACTGAATATTATTGCACTGTCACTGCAGCAATCACGCAGAACTAACATAAACATGGCCTGGAGAGAACAGCCCTGGTCAGTATCAAGTCCCTCTCAGCTGTCCCATATGGTCTAGCGGTTAGGATTCCTGGTTTTCACCCAGGCGGCCCGGGTTCGACTCCCGGTATGGGAAGAGTTTATTGCATGCGTTATGCAGAATAACATGAACATTTATCATGTATTACATTTACATGCCTGCAATATCCTGACTGAACACAAATACCAGTCTATTTATAGTTCTGTACATGTGTGCTAGGTTAGTCTTAGTTTAGTGTGTGAAATACCCCCTGGTATTCAGAGGTCCCATGTCGACTGGCTGCTAACTCACTCACCATAGTGGCACTGATGCTTCAGTGGCAGCAAAACGTTTTTGGAAATGCTCTTTTCTAGTTTGGTGATGTGCTCTTCCTCACATTAACTGAGATCTTACTCATCTCCTCTTCTGTCTTCAGTTTATACCAAACTCTTGGGAAACTGGGCGAGTTTTCAGATTTGCAGCACATTGGGAAGTTTTTCAGTTACAGTTTCTAGGCTATGAAGGACCAACTGGGTGAACCAGCCGGCTACAGCACCACCCTGAGGCAGAGCAGGGCTGCAGCTCTAGTTAGTTAAGAACACCAAAGACAGAATCTGATTGTGGGTGAAGCAGATAAACAGTGAGTTTCAATGAATCTGTATTTGAGGGTCTGACCGATACATTGACTATACTTGTAGACTGACACTTTGTGGTTACACCTGAAGAAAAATGTAATGTAAAAAAAGTAAATATAGATAATTAGCAATAGCTGAAAATAAGTGATACAATAACTGTAGATTTAGGCTAAACGGTTTAATATTTAATATAATATGCTGGTTCACTTGAGAAGCTCTGTGTGAATATATTTCCAGGATGGCATTTTTGTGACATGTTTGCAAAATGAGTTCTATTTTAAGTTTAACTTAAATTTTAAGTTTTTAATTTATTGTGCATAGTTAGCTTACTAATGTATATAGCGTTTTGACAGGACGAGCTGCAGAATGTTTAATAGTTTTTGAAGTAGCTGCTGAAAATTTCTAATTAACAGAAACTGAAATTGCATTACTAATGTTACCTGATGAACTTAAGTGATGTTCGTAAGAGCAAAGTTAGCTCATTCTGATAAATCACTTACAGTGTGAACTGGGCGTCTTCCGGGAGGAGTTGTTTTAAAGGGAAAGCTGAAAGGTGAAGCTGTTAATTCACTCTGGATTAACGGTCACTTTGACACTGTAAACAAAAAAAACAACAGAAATGTCTGTCAATTATTTCTATTGTTGGCATTATCAGTAATGTCCAAGAAATGTTCTGCTTTTTAGTTTTAGCGGTACTTTTAGTGATGCATTTAAAGGTATGTCAGTATGGGGATTTGGAGACCCCTCTGGTGAAAATGTGTAACTGCATGCAGTATGTGAAAGGACATTTTGTAGTATGGGTTGTGCTTAAGCCCTCTTCCCTGAGTGGATGAATCCGGTGATTGAGACAGAATTCAAAGGGAAATCAGTCTAGGGAACTCAGACAATTTTGTTAAGGATGCATCTTCTGAGGATGTGAGTGAATTGTCTACTATTGTCATTACATTTTCATCAGTATAATTTTGATTTTGAGATAATTTGAGGCCTAAACATCGAGCTGGACCTTCTTCTGAGTGACATTAATACATAAATACATACAGTGTGGTGTGAAAAACTCTCGACTTCCCACTTACATAGTGCAGCTTTATATCCATGATATCCATTATATAATGCACATAAAATAGTGGTGTCTCTGCTGCCAAGCAGTTGAATTCTATTTTATATGCTTTATACTTGTGATGTACAGGACCTAATGTTTAACTGGTGAGTATGTAATTTGCTGGGTGCATCAGTTTGGTTTAAAGAACAGCTTAAAATCCATAAAAACTAAATGTTCTGTACAAAAGTCACAAACTACCCTTTATTTATTTAATTTCCATTTAACATGGCCATAACGTACAAGTTATTCATTCAGTAGGTAATAGGCATTTAACAAATAATTACACAGAAGCTTCAACAACTAACTAAAGTATCAGATTTTTCAGTATTTGGCACATCCACACTTTGCCTTCATTACAGCTTCTGTTCTTTTCAGGAGACTTGCTTGCTGCCCAGTTTCTTAGTGTCTTTATTGAGCAATGGCACTTTCAGTCGTAGTGTTAAGGACAGAAAATATTGGACAAGGAGTGTTTTTTCTATGACTGAAAATCTTAAAAATTCTGGAGAGTGGTTTTGGAGAACGTTGTTCAATAAGGCATCTGGAACAACTATGCATTTGATCCAAGCTTTTTTAATGCTACATTTCTGGCACTGAATTGGATGTCAGCAACATTAAGCATGATCATGAAAAAGGAAAAAGTCTGAGGTATGTATATACAATCTTTAGACAGAAGCTTAAAAAGGCAACCTCTGCTTCAGTTTATGTGCATGTCTTACAACGTAAAGGAGAAATCCACAGACTTTTCAAACTTTCTGCATAATTAAATGGTTAAGATTTTAACAGAGTCATTCAGAGTGGTTTTCACAGTGTGAAATGCTCCATTCTAGAGAAACTTACCGAGTCAGAATTGTTCACAGTGGTGGTGACAGGAACCAGACGTCTACCTCTAAAAGCTACCTCACAGAAAGTTACGACAAAGCTTTTGGCCTTAAAATCCATTCATAGTGGAGGGATACATGCAGGACACTGTGAGGCAAAACAGTCCCCAAAGAAAGACAGAGAAATTTTACCATCATCAACATTTCCTGGTGGTTTTGGATAGTAAATAAAATGTCTATATCTGTGTTGTAGTCATGGTGACCCCTGGTTCCTATCACCACCACTGTAAAGAAATCTGAACCATTTCACACCTGAATGACTCTCAAACACTTAATCATACAGGGTGCCCAGTTTTTTTTAATGGGTGGAATTTCCCTTTTAAATACTGAAATAAATGACTAGCAGGCTTACACGATGCACTGACAATAATATAAAGAACACTTGATTTATCCTCTGTTTAAGAGTTAGCGACACACAGAGCTCTATTTGGCATTAGGCAGCTTTCCTCACCATTCTCTCACTTTTTACAACAAAGCCTTCTTGAAATAATAGCTCATGTTTCGTAGTCCTATTCAAGGCACATGTGCATGCACACAGACATACACGTCCTTTCACTGTTTCCTTGGCAACCAGTCTTTTTTTATTCTTCTTAGCAGCACTGTATTCCTCTTGGACCAAGAGGGCTAAAAAAGTATGGCACACAGACGTACAACCCATCACAGCTTCAGCAAGCAAATGAGAACCGAGCGAGAACCGAAGATGGGGTCAACGCTTCTGTGCGTCCTGGGCTGAACAGAGGCACAGAGACCGAAGTGGAGAACAGAAGAACATCTACGAGTGCTTGATGGTGTATTTGCCTTTCTGGAGCTGGGAGATGTAAAGCTTTGACTTGCTGCCGTCAAAGCGCTTGAACCACACCTCGTCATGGTTAATGGTGGTTATAATGGCGCTAAAGGAGAAAAGTAAGGAAGTGTTTTAGTGCAAATACTCTCAAAAACATTTTAGAAACACTTTAGGGTGCTGCAGCACCCCCTACTGTCAGGCCTGTTTAACTGCTACTGCTAAAAGTGAACAACAATGAAATATAAAAAGAAATAATAAAAAACTTTAAAATAAAGTATTTTGAGTTTAGACAAACAGTCGAAGATCACCCTTTATTTATTTCATTTCAAGCCAAAATAACCATTAAGTACAAGTTATGTTTTTTCAAAAGATAAAAAGAAAAAATGGGACTGCTGGTGTTCTCAGAACAATGGACTGACCAGTCCAGACCTCAATCTGAATCACTGAATGTGTTTGATTACTTCAGAAAAAGATCAACTGAACTTTGGAGGTGTGTCAGCAGGTTTCTTTGAGAAACTAAAGGGGGTCTCCTGAACAGAATGGAGGCTGTAATAAAAGTTAAAGAGTGACACACTGAACACTCAAACCTCTGATATTAGATTTAGTTATTGAGACTTCTGTGTGATTTTCTGTTTAATAAATCTCAACCTTTGTTTTCACTCAGAAATTCATTGAGGGTGACCCTCATTTTCAGTGTAGTTGTGCATTTACAGCATTAAAGGGTTTGAAAAAGAAATTAAAATGGATTTTAATCAGACTAAACTAAAATGAACAAAACTACTAACGGAAAACGGAAAACTCTGGTAAAAGTAAAAATCAACAACTATTTTTACACAACAGTGACAATACTATGATTATACTGCTATATAGTGTGACTGCAGTATTACCAGCAGTGTATTAAAATGTAATATGGTTAAAGAAAGGTCTGCATTTATGTTTGGTGGAAGACATGCCTTCAACACCTTGATTCATTAAAACATAACAAAATTGGCTGGAGGGCTCATTTACATACTGCAAGCATGGCTAAAATCACTATAGCTAAGGCCAATTTTGCAATACTGATTAACAATCAGCTCACACAGCTCTACCTGGTGGGGTACTCATCCTTGCGGCTGATGGATATGGCCTGTCCTCGGCTGTACCACTTGCTGTCGTAGAACAAGCGGCCGTCCTCAGATCGGGCAACATGATGATGCCTCTCAGCTTTCGATGGAACTGCTGAAGGAAAGCAGATTTTTCCATTACAGGAACACCCACACATCACCTCGCTGTCCTGTTTGGCTACACTGGGCATCTATTAACTGACCCTGAAAGTTTCACGGGATGCAAATGTGATCTTGAATGAGTCACTGGCTATTTCTAATCAGAGGTTTCCATGATATGGTTTAAGTGCATTTTACAGTGTCCATAGAGAGGGCACCACATATTCATATATTCATGTATGCTTTATTTATGACATTAATGTTAAAATTATATACTAAACTAATTTACAAAGAGTAACAAATGAAATAAATTGGACTGTGATGGCAAAACGAGTGATGAAAAGTGGAATTTCAACACTCTGCTTATCCACCAGTGGGGTGCCAAGAAAACGCTGAACAAAAAGCCAGTGGGAGGCCAGTTTTGCCCCAGCGGGCCAACCGTGACCCAAACTATAGCTGTATATATAGCTATAGATATAGCTGAGCGAGATCTCCCTTTGGTATCGTTTTGGGAATTATGTCTTTAAAATTGTTAAAGTCTTAAATTTCTGTCCCACATCTTGTAAACTGTAAACATGGTGTGTGGAGCTGTTAGCCTGCTGGGTTAGTACTGCTGCTAGTGCTAGCTAAGCTAGCAGGCTAACAACCTCACACACAAGCCAGGTTCAGTTCTAACAGATTTTCCATCGAAACAAAATTCAAGGATAAAGACTCAAATCTGACTCAAGTCAAGTGGCAGAAAGGCAGAGCCTACCCTCTTCTGTAGGGCGTTCAGCTGTTAGCTTGCTAGCTTATCTAGTACTAGCACCACATCTGTTAGAACCTAACCTGGCTTGTGCATTAAGTTGTTAGACTAGCAGAAGTATTAACTCAGCAAGCTAACAGCTCCACAGACCATATTTAGGAGTTTACTAGATATAAGTGGAACAAAAATTGAAAAAACACTGTCACAATTTTAAACAGTCAAAATTCCCAAAATGTAAAGGAATCCATTTTAGCCTATTGTTAACTGCACAGCCCAAGCATCTCAAACATTTGATGTTAGCACAGCCATGTTTTGTAGCTAGAAGTTTCTTGTCGCAACAACATAATGCTCTCATTGGCGTGTTTTAGTTTATATATTTTTCATGCTTATTGTAACACATTTGAAATAAAAACCAATCTATACAATCATAACAACTCATTTGGTTAACCACTTCAGGAACCCATTCATGAGGTCTTTAATGAAATAATCCTAAGAATCTTATCACTTTTATAATGTTACACAATAGATGTTAATAACATTTTATAGCGTGCCAATTCTATGTATACTACCTAGCACACGCTACCACTTTATACAAGCTAAAAAAAATAAAGCAGGGATGTAACAATACAACATAGTTTTTTATCAGATAGTATCACAACATATAAAGCGTTAACTGGAGATGGTATAAAGTACAGCTTTTCTTTTTAAAATGTAATGTCTTATTAACATAGTAATTTTTTAGTCACTTCTTATATTTTTTTCTGTATCATGAAATGTAAATAATTTGAGACAATATGACCATAATCACTGTTACGTTATCGTGATAAATGATATGCTTCTCTAGGTATATCATGGATATCGTCATTGCTTAATCAACACTTCCCAAGTGTGTGTTTGATTAAAAAAAACTTTATTTATCTGTTGTCACCCAGCTTTACTCTACTGTATCAAATCGAATAATGAGCTTTGTGAGTCTTGACACTATACAAGAACTTAAAATGTCATAAATGTTATGAAACAAATCATGTAATTCATATTCATAAATGTTCAAATCATGTAATTGTTTTCCTGTTTTGACCTAAAAGTGTAAACCTAAGACCTAATAAACCTCTCTGTGGTTGTCTGATGAAATACAGCAAAATTAATTTAGTTTCTTCAGTTTTTTTTAATCACTGCACTCACACTGGTAAACACTCCTCATAAGAATACTTCACACATGCCTAATATGAATCATCACAGAAGGAAATTCCCAAGTCTGATGATTCACAGCAGACTGGTATCACACTGTGAGGGTGACAAACTGCAGAAATATCTTACCGTCAACTTTTACTCTGTGTGGTCCCATCGAAGCCATCGCCTGTGAAACACAGTGCAGTAAATAACACAATCCACTTTCATAAATCAATACAACTCTTGTGAAAACACATCCAAACCTTTCTTATCGCTGTCCAGTCTTCAAGTATGTCCAGGTCTTGCAACATGTAAACAATATATGGTCGTGGGAGCGATTAAGGAAACAAATAAACAAATACTAACTAAAGCAAACCTGGATATAATACATTAGACAAAAACGAGACTATAACTATTGAATACATTAGAGCTGAGCAATAACAATCCACATAGAGCCTTTCAAAGACTTCAAAATACCTTTTTAAAAAGGCTAACAATATATAAATGGGTGTATCCATTATGCTGTGCTACTGTAAAGGGTGAATAATAACCACTGATTCATCCATAAAGTAAATTTCAATAAATTATTTCTTTAAAATAAAGTTTACCTTAGTAATCCTGACAGCTCTATACTCTTAAAAAAGATTGCGCTTCAAGGGTTCTCTAGTAATGAAAATGTTTCTATATAGATCCATGGACACTCAAAGAACGCTTTTTATGGTTCAGTGGTTCTTTGTATTGTGAAATGGTTCCTCGGCTTGATGGCGAATATGCTGTAGATGGTTCTATATAGAACCTTTTTGAAAAGAGTTTTATATAGCACCCAAAAAGTGTTCTTCTATTGTTATGATGTCAAGCTTGTAATAATGAAAGGACTCTTTTTGGTGCTATATGGATCTGAATATATCTAAAGAAACATTTTACAATGCAAAGAACCCTTTATTAATGCAAAGCGTTGTTTGAGTGTACATGGTTCTATACATAACTATTTCTTTACTAAAGAACCCTTGAAGTACCATCATTTTTAAGTGTGTAGATAAAAATAGCACAGCTGTCGCATGGTGTAAAGGATATCTGACACAACAACAGGTTTCTTTTTTTTGCCAGGGCAGAAGGGATCTTTCTTTTTATTTGTCCTCGCCTGCAAGCCATCGTTCCACAGTTCTGGTTTAAGGAAAAAAAACAAGATCAATTTTATTGAAATAATATAGTTTTATTAGTAAAAAATAAAACAATTCATTTAGTAAGTTACGATAACAAGAACATGTCTTATAATAATGATTAAATATGTCATAATGATGAGTTAGTATCTCCTATAATAATGAGCTGATATCATAATTCAGACTTAAAATCTCAGATTTTATAAGATAGCATCTCATTTTATGAGACATTCAGCCACAATTATGAGGTGTTTTCAGTTACAAGTTAGTATCTCAAAAATTAAAACATATTTTAATGAGTTAGTGAAGATTAGCATCTCATAATAATGAGTTAATATATCATAATGATGAGTTAGTATCTCATAATGAATCAATATCTCAATGAGTTATTAACTCATTATGAGGTACTAACTAATCTTTGAGATACTAACTCACACTATAATGTATTATAATATTGAGTTACTAATCTTTGAGATACTTTTAGTTTCTGATAATGAGTTAGAATTAGTATCTCATAATAAGTTAACATCTTAATAATGAGTTAGAATCGCAATGCTAAGGAAGTGTCTCATAACAATGAGTTAATATTTCATAATAATGAGCTGGTATCTCATAATTCTGACTTTAAATCTCAAAGGTAATGTCAAACTGTCATAATTACTTCTTATAATTACATGTATTTCAGAATTATGAATTACTACTATACAGTTAGGGACAATAAAACAAGGTATTGTGAGATGCCAAGTCAAAAACAAATTTTTTCAAGTGGTAGAAATGAGCTTCCACAGTCACAGAGGAGGAGAAAAAGTGAAATCTGTAAAATATTTTACGTAATAGAGGCTTCACTACTACCTGAAGTGATGTCTATACTGTGCCTGTGTTCCTCCAGCCGTCTGATCTTTTCCTCCAGTTCACTCTGAACCGTATCAAACAGCAGGAGCTTCTCACTCTGTCAGAGAAACACAGGAAAACATCACAGCCTCAAAATAAAAGAGTTAATAAAAGAGACATGAGGCTAGAAACAGTTAGGGCTGTAAGATATACTGCCGGTTAAATGTTACTGCAGTATTGACATTGCTGAAATTCATAATACGTAAACATTAATACAACAGAATATTTTTGTTATTTCTCTCTCCTCAAGGAAGTCCAGTACCTAAATTTCACCTTGAAGATCAATAAAATACATCTCTCTATCTACAGTGGGAACCCCCCAGGGCTCAGGCGTTCAGATTTCTGTGCACTAAAAAAATGCATGTCTGAGATTTTTGTTTTTTTTTGTTTTGTTTTGTTTTATTTTATTTATTATTACAGCTTCTTTAATATTACTTATATTATTTAATAGAATCATTTATTAAATATAATAATATAATCGAGTTTTGGTTGGAAACAAAGGGCTAAAATCTTGAAACGGCTAATAAAATCTGTCCAATCAGGATTGTTTTCGATGTATCTAGGGAGATATAGCTGAGCGAGCTCTGCCTTTGGTTAGGAATTTAGGAGCTGGACCTGCACGTTATATTAACTAGCAAAATAATTAGGCTTGATTTACAATCAAAGTAAAGAAAGACATCACTCTAGTTCTTCTGGAGGTTTTAGATTCACTGACTATGAATATGCGCCACAGTCTAAGTAGGTTCCAGTTAGTTGTTAGAAACTGAAAAAAGTGGCGGCAGCTCTAGGCCAGAACTCTTTACTGAAAGAGTCACCGTAAAACTGATACATACAAACTGAGATATAGGATAATGTCTGATACAAGCTTCTAATAAAACATATGGCATGTCTTTTACAAGCTTCACATTACTGCTTTTAATCTAGAACACAAAGCCCTAGTGATAGTTCATACCTCCCAGTGCTGACTGGCTGCCTGCATCTCACAGTCATACTTATTCCTCACAGACTCCAAACAGAGCTCACGGTAGATCCCTGCAAGACACATCACAAAGTGTAATGAATTACGATGCTCCAAGCAATAATAAGCTTTTTAGTGTTTATCTGCAGTGCTCTTTTGCAGGGAGAGAACATCAGGCTTATGATCCTTCAATAAAAGTTAATCATTTAAAAAACACATTTTTGAGTGCAGGCGGTTGTTAATGTACAAGTAAAACAGGCCTAATTCAGTTTGGCTTGTAAAATTTTATATATACCCTTAATTCATGGAGTTGTACCCTTCTCCAATGAGCATGCCCCATAAAATCATGAGTCAGCTTCATTACATTTACCCGGAAGGGAGAAAAGCCCCATGATCTGGACAATTATCCTTATTCATAAACAATCCAGTTTTAACAAGTCTTCATTCTTAAGGATTAGCGCTGTTAGGAATGTTGCACTGCTGGATGTCTGTGGTTTAGTGGTGGCCAAAGGCTTACAATACACTGACGAAATAAAAAATTTGGAGTGTCCGGACAGTATGAGGATCCACCAGTCGCCCTGGCAACAAAATAAAGAAAGCCAAAGTACAAAATAAAAGCCTTTAAGACATTAAACTGATAAAAAAAAAAATAACTGATTCAAATGTATTTAATGTGATATTTGCTGTTATATTTTGAGTCAATTTGCCAGTGTTTGACAGCCTCTTTCATATATACTTATATATATAATTTGTAATGTTCATGTATTTTAGGTTGGAAAGCGTGTCTGGTTCAAATAACACTAACTGTACTGAATTAATTGTGTTTTGCATGAAATTTCCAGCCTTTTTCCAGCAAACGTTAAACTCACAACCTGAGTCTGCTACAGTTAACCCCACATATGGGATAAGTTCTAACATACACACTTTCAGCTGAAATGTTCACAAACAACCAGCGCTTATGTTTTCATTTATAGTAGAGATTTGCAGGTTGTACAAAACATTTATTAAGCTTGCTCAAATATTTTTATATTTAGGGCATTTTCACGCTAGAGCTTTTTTCTGGACCCAGGACCACTTGCTCTGCGAGTTTGGCAAGTTTGGTTGAGTGTGAAAGCAGATATTAAGCCTGGAAGCAGTCCAGAACTGATCTCTGGTCCTCCTGAAATCGGTGGTGTGAGGTTTGCTCCCAGTATACTCTGGCGCAGCCCACTGCATGTGTGGAAGCTATCCGCTCTCAGCACAATGCGTTGGGTTCATTGCGTGATTGGTTCATTTTGTTACGAGACTGCGTCACTTACCTTTTCAAGTTTCATGCTGGTGCTGAAAGGATTTTTTTTAACAAAAAGTGCTGAGCTAGTCCCGACCACTGCACGCAGAAAAGTGACGCACTGCAATCGATTCATGGTTTGGAATTCTTGTGGGTGAAAATAAACCAGTGATAATGAGCTCCTCACACAAACAAGCAGAGAATTGGTCCTGTGTGCAGACTCGGGATGGCAAAAGGCTTGCAAGTAGGTATTTTGGAATGTTTGAAAGGTTATCCATGATTCAGTTAAATGAATTAGATTGTTTGGCCTTTTCTCTGATTACCTGATTATTTGTGAAAATGTTCAGCAGATTACTTTACTAATATAATACTCAAGTTTGATGCAGTTTTCATTAATGGAAACTCACCAGCCACTTTTGTACGGATCTGCATGTTCTCCTGGAGGTTGGCGAGGGGTTCTAGATACTCTGGAGCGCTGCCAGCTTTCACCTCTTGTAGTTTGAGGTCCACTTGGTTAAGCCTCTCCTTGTACAACCTGATAAAGTCAGGGTTTTCACATTTTCTAGCATATCAGTTTCCAAGACATTAATTGATCATCACTTTGATTTATCAATCTACTCAGGCTTTAGCAGAGCTCAGTAACACTGAGATTAATAACTGATTACATTGATTTATCAGTCTACTCAGGCTTTAGTAGAGCTCAGTAACACTAAGATTAATAACTGATCATCACACATTGACTTATCAGTCTATTCAGGCTTGAACCTCATTAGGCCTCATTCAGCAACCGTTCTTATGAAGAAATCTCTTCTTAAAACCCACTTCTGCAGTTTTTACAAAGACTGACATTCACCAATGTTTATTATCTGGGATTTGTTCTTAGATATGAAGAGAATCTACACACACTCAAGGGCACAAAGATGAGAACAGTTCTGTGCTTTAAGAACATGTCATGAATCCGACAGAGATATTGGTGAATGAGGCCCATTGTGCTTATGTATTACTGTATTGCTGCATTACTGTAGTCTTCCAGTTTATCTTTTGAGTGTCCACAATCTAATGCTACTCACTGGTCCTTGAGGTCAGTGAACTGCTTCTCCAGACTGGTCATCTCATCCAAGCACTCCATCCGCCTCCTTTCGCAATCTTCATCATCCATCTCTGGAAATGTGAAAACACATCACATCATGACTGAATAGGCACAGGCCTACAAGCATCAGTCTGACACAGGCTGTTAGCGAACCATGCTCAGGAATATTACAACAAGAAATGTTACAGAAATGAAAAACTTTCTTTTTTTACTTGACAGGTGGTATTAATCACACTGCACATTTAAAATAGATGGTTCTTCAAGGGTTCTTGAGTAAAGGTAACCTAATGGTTCTTTATGTAACCATTTCATGCTTAAATGGTTCTTTGCATGGTGAAATGGTTCTTCAGACTGATGGACAATGTATTGCACATGGTTCTATATAGCAGCAAAGGGTTCTGCAACCTTTAAAAAGATGCTTCTTCAAGATTTATTTAGTAAAGGGAATGGTTCTGTTTAGAACCATGAGTTCTACATAGAACCACTGGCATGCTCAAATCGTTCTTTGCATGGTGAAATGGTTCTGCAGCTTAATATTGAATATTGTATAAAACCTTTTTGAAAATGGTTCTATATAGTACCAATAAGGGTTCTGCTATAGCTACGATGTCAAACTTATGCTACATACAACCATACACAACAACACATTCTCCATCTGAACAACCATTTAACCATGCAAAGAACCATTTAAGCATACAGAATAGAACTCATGGTTCTAAATGTAAAGCCTGCCTTTACCAAAGAATCTTTGAAGAACCATTTTTTAAGAGTGTACGATTTACATATTACTCTGGCGCAGCAATACTGTTGATATTAACAACGAGGCTGAAGCTGGCTTTTTGTCGAATTTCCCGTTCCACCTTAAATCCTGCAGGCGCCAGAATGTAACTGCTGCACCATTTAAGGTGGAACGGGAAATTCGAATAAGAAACCAACTTCAACTTCGTACATGCTGAGGACTTCAGTGTTTACATGGCGTATCTAGACCATTAAAGGCTCATATTGACCTGAAGTGTCTCCATCTTCAGACGCAGTAGAGCTCACTGTGTCCTCCTCCTCTGAGCTGCTACCTTCTTGCTCAGGAAAGTCCACGTCCATGTCTTCGTGATTAGACTCTTTTCTGTCTCGAGAATGAACAGGCATTATGTATTTTTTAAAAAACACAATAAATTTGCTCAAAACGGCGAACAAACCTGCCCAGAAACCCGTGAGGAAAAAAGGTAAACAACCGGCTTCCAAATACCAAAAACCACAACGTTCACGTTTCAATCATGGCCACGTGGATGACCAATCACAAGTCCCGATATACATTATTCATGAGGCGCGCGTTTTCATTGGTCCAAACCAAGACCGAGCGACGATGGGAGTTGTAGTTCGTATCCGACCTCAACGATTTATGACGCTGTTCTAAAAGTGACCAGCAGAGGGCGATCCATTTCTGATATAACTGTGAAGGAAATCAAGTTATATTTTCACGTCTAACTGAGAATTTCTGACTGAGAAGGTTTTAGTCTGTAGAAGGTTTTTAGTCTCTGGGTATTTTAACTTTATAAGGACAATTCTGTATAGATATCGAGGTATGTAGCGTCAGTGTGTCTGTATGTTCATGAGATATGCACTCGCTGAGTCATGTAGGGGAACAAAATGTGGGGAAAAAGTCACCACTGCCATTGAATGGTGCACAGAAGATTCCATCTCAAAGGGGAATTCCACTGAACTTTCAAAATTTTACTATAATTCACACATTAAGCTGTAAACAAAGGTGATGGGAACAGATGTCCAACACATAAATATAGCCATTGGTTTTTATACGTAATGTTGATGATGGTAAATAGTGGAAAAGCCAGGGGAAAAAAATTCTTTGGGGACTATTTTGCCTTAGAACATTCTGGATGGATGTTTTAGGCCAAAACCTTGTCATAACTATAGGAAAACAATGTCTCAGACATCAGGCAGTGTACTCATAACCATTTCATGCAATTACTTTTTGTGAGGGAGCTTTTAGAGGTGGACGTCTGGTTCCTATCACCACCACTTTGAACAGTTCTGACTCTGTAAGGTTCTCTGTAAGTTTCTCTAGAACAGGGGCATTGCACACCAAACCCTGTTTACATCTTAATGATTTAATTATGCAGAGAAATTGTAAAATTTGATGAAATTCCCCTTTAAAACATAATGCAAATAAAAACACAGTGTACAAATATAATACAGATTAACTTAATTTTAAAGCCTGTGTATATCATAGTGCACATATGGAAAGCTGATATATGGCAGTATATGAATTTTAAATATATGAGCTATGTTGGCATATATGTGTTTCCTGTATACCCAACATATATTAGTCACATATGGACATATATATAAAAACTTACTTGAAATTGTCCATTTTCAAAGTGTCGGACATATATTTCAGCCAAATATCAACATATACAAACAAATGTGTATCACATATAAACATATAGCAATGTATGATAGAAAATATTCATATATGAATAACATACATTGCTCATATATGTTAGCGACCTGTTATATAATATAAGGTTTTTAGTTGTCCAAACATGCATAAAACTGTAAACATGTGGATATCAATGTAAAGACCTCAACAGATATGAAATACTTTTGATTTGTGTCATATTTCTTTAGAAAAGAATAGACATGCATCTTTTTTTCTTCCACATACTTCCTAATGAAGTGAAAGTTAGTATAAAACGCAATAGTCATTAAAACATATAAATAAATTATAATAAATAAATAAAATATTTTGTATAAGTAAATAAAAATATTGTTCATTGAAACATTTAAATAATTTAATATTTAAAAGCAAACAATTATAACAGTGGCGCCAGATATTACGTGTTCACTCACTGATCAGACATACATGTACGCTCCGGATACTAAGAATAAGCCACATATATTATGAAGTATATGCTTGGCCTTTATGATATATGTACACATAAGGCCATATATCAGATTTCCGTATGAGTGCACACAGAGATTTTTATTATAATGGTGTTATAGGGATGGGAATCTCTAGGCACCTCACGATTCGATTCGATTACGATTCAGAGGGCTGCGATGCGATTATAAAACGATTATCAATGCATCTCGATGCATCTTTTCTTTCTATACAGGATTTCTATTTTCTCACTGTGTGAGGACTTGGTAGTTTTAAAGCAATGATCCATAATGAATTTACTTCCAATATCTTTTATTAATAAATCAAATGGAAGTGATGTGGCAAGTGAACTGGAAGGCTCTCATTCACTGCCTTGGGAGCACGAGACGCTGCTGCCACTCATCTGCGATAAAATGCGCAGTTACGGTGAAAAAAGATCCAGTGTAGTGGGTGTCCCACGCAGCGCGTTACAGCCATCCTACCCGTTTTTAGTGATTTTATAACTTCGGTTTTGGTCTCGTTGTAGAGACGGGGGGGATCGCTGTGTCAGTAAAATATCTTCGAGACGGGTCGTGTGCAACATTGCGTGAAAGCCCTGTTTCGCAACGACTGAGAATTGGCGTGCAGACTGCAGGTCACATAGCAACGATGCGTTATTCGCATTTATAAGCAGTGCAGTTGGTTTCCTGGCAAGTTAAATCTGCAACGAGAGACTGTCAAACACTAAAAAGTTGCGAAGATGAAGTCGCTTCTCTTCTGAATTTTCTCGTTCCACCTTAAATGGTGCCGCATTTACATTCGGCACCTCAGTCAGAATTTAAGGTGGAACGGGAAAATTCGAACAAGAAGCTGGAGAATGAGAAGCGACTTCAGCCTCGTAAGACAGCCGAATGTTGAGAGACATTTTACAAGAAACTGCTCTAATTTTGAGGAAAAGTTTTCTGGCGGAAATGGGAGGAAAGCGGCTGTAGGCGAAGCTTAAAGCAGAGCAAAGGAGATCTGCGCTCTCATTTAGTTATATTGTTTAGTCTATACTAGCACATCAGCACATACTGAGACATACTGGACATTAAATGTTGTGGCTCCCAAGATGGTTTGATTTTTGTTGAAAGGACAAAATGTCTCTTCTTATCATTTGTGTTGTGACTCCTGATCTAACCTGGCTTTTAATGCAGAGGGAGCCGGTCAGATTTCTCGCTCATCCAGTTGTGTTTTTGTTGTGTGCCGTCACAGACTGTCCAGGCGCTGCACTTACCCACTTCCAAGTTCCGCCTTTTGCGTTCCGTCAACATTACGTTATAAATTAAATATCTAGAAAATCGATTCAGAATCGTTCACGTCCGCATCGCGATGCATCTAAGAATCGATTTTTTCCCGCACCCCTATTGTGTTAGTTAAGAAAAGACAGTGTTTCATATTATATTGAGTCTTATGTCATGTGTTCTCTAGCAGTATAACACTGGCTATCAAACAACATTAGTTGATGAGCAAGCCTGTTGACAGCTAGTGCTACCATTGGTTTTTTGCTATAAGCAATATGAAGTCTCTTAGCGCCTACGGATTTTTCTCATGGCATTTTTAACATCATTTTTGCCCTTTTTTTCAGATCGAAATGAATGATGTAAACACATAAGGCGTAGCAGTGTAGATGCAGCGTTGTAGGGATGGACGATATGACGATATTTTATTGTTATCATGATAAATTATGTCACAGTACATCGAAGCATATTATGGATATTGTCAGTACCTAAAGAACACTAACAAACTGTTTCATTACAAAAAGAGAATTATTAGGCCTCTTTAATTGGATTTAGTGCTGCAGAGTTTGTAATTTAGCTTTTTCCACCTTATGAAATCTCAGAAAAATGAAACATCATGATGCATATTGTGTATCGTGAAAATGTCTTGAAGTATCATGATATAAACTTTTTGCCATATCACCCACCCCTACTGAGTTGCTCAATGCTGCCTGGCTGCTGTAAGTCTCTACTAGGTCTAGCAGAGCGTCTGATCAGAATACCCCTCTAATAGTTCCTCTAACTATCACGGCTATTACCAAAATATGACTCACATAGTCCAAGCTGACTGTATTCTGGAAAAGGCATTGCTGAAGATGTGTAATTTCTGAATTCTTGTCATTTGCATCAAGCGACCGAGAAAACAGAGCTTCCACGCTTTTTACTTAAATTCACTGAAATTATTCATTCCGTCTGACGCAACTCCACAACTCAGTTATAAAAAAGGATTTTGAACTTGTGCGCATGCTTGTCGATGTTCAGCAGCAGATAAAGTATCTTAATCAGTAGCTCTATAACTTAGTTTTCTCTTAGTATGTGTACTTGTTTGTTCACTTGGTTGGGCTCCTTGAAAATGAGCATTCAGGCTTAAAGATGCCTGCTGCTACTGTTTTTAGCTATGCTAATGTGCTTCGGTCCATGTTCACAGTGAACCATACAATGGCAAAAACCATATAATCATGTCTATTAGAGATACTGAACACCTCCACACGCTTTGAGGTGAGTCTGTGCTGATTTAGGTAGTATAAGCTTCCATTACTTTTTAGCTACAATAGCTTTGTAGCTCCAGTGCTAAAGTTAAAGAAGCAAACTTCAGACGCCAAACATGCCTTGGCTGACTGACTACGTTTGGTGCAAGATGGGGAAACCCATTTAAATTTCATTTTTGGTTGAGCTGTAATTGTAGTGAACTAAACAACACTGCAAAAAGGGACAAATTATCTTAAATATACTCTTAAAAAGGGTTCTTTTATAAAGGCAGTGGTTCTATATACAAAGATATACACTTAAAGCACCATTTGCAGGCTTAAAAGTTTCTTTGCATGGTGAAATGTTCTTCAAACTGATTGAGAATGTGTTGTATATAATTCTATATAGCACCAAAAAGTATTTGTTGCTATATAGAACTATATACAATGTCATAACTATAGCAGAACCCTTTCTGATGCTATAAAGAACCATTTTCAGAAAGGTTCTATATAGAACCACATACAATCTGAAGAACCGTTTCCAAGATTATAACTTAAGTTGTCTTGTTTTAAATTATGTTAGTAAATCAAATAGTCTCACTGTGTTGGCAGATAATACTGCTTCATGCTTATTTCTTATAACAAGCAAAATTATCTGTTAATAAAGTGAGATAACATAATTTAAGCACTTAAAACAAGTAAAAATGTCTAAAAACATTAGATATTAGATATAGATAGATTAGATATATCAACTGAATTTAAAATAATTTCACTTGTCAAGAGACCATTTTTTGCAGTAAAGGTGTTGCAAAAAAAAACATCCCAGTCCAGTGTTCTGATGGTCTACAGCAGGGGTGGGGAACTCCCATCCTGGAGGGCTGGATTCCTGCAAAGTTTGGTGATTTTCCTGTG